GGCAGCGAGATCAGCTTCGTCGCCAGGTCCAAGTGGTGTGCCTTTTACTCCGTGTACAAGCGTTGCCCTGGTCTCCCATGAAATTATGGAAGATCATTAAAGTAATTTGGCAGCGAGGTAAAGTTACAGAACAATGGCGATACGCAGAAGGTGTTTGGATCCCAAAAGAAGAGAACGCAGAAAAATATTGAGCAATTCGATGTATCTCGTTACTGAGTACAGAAGTTAAAATATTTTTAGTGTTATTTCCCTGACGGCTATTAGCTTTTCTAATAAAAAATAGCTTTATAGATACATCGGTACAAAAAAGGCGGAACTGGTATGCCTGGCTGCGTGAGCATATAGGGAGTTTTGTCGCAATTAATAAGGGATGCAAGGAAGAATAAAGGAGACCTGGCTGTTGCGTGGTTGGACTTTGGCCAATGCATATGGGTCCATACCGCATAAACTCGTGGAAGAAGCTTTAGTTAGACACTACGTCCCAAGTAGTATCCGCGAGCTTATCCAAGATTATTACAGACAATTCCATCTAAGAGTTGCATCCGGTTTGGTCTCTTCAGATTGGCATAGACTTGAGAGAGGAATCATTACAGGCTGTACATTGTCAGCCACGCTTTTTGCTCTCGCGATGAACATGCTCGTGAAGTCCGCTGAGGTGGAATGCCGTGGCCCCGTTTCAAATATCGGAGTTAGGCAACCACCCATCCGGGCTTACATGGACGATCTTAGTCACCACGCATTCTGTTACAGGCTGTAGATGGCTATTACGGGGTTTAGAGAGACTGATTGAGTGGGCAAGAATGAAGTTCAAGCCAAACAAATGTAGATCAGTGGTAATAAAAAAAGGCCGAGTGGTAAAACACTATTTCACATAATAGAAGGGAGAGTCATCCTGACGTTGGCCGATAAGCCTGTTAAAAAGTCTCAGGGTAAATCCTTTTGTAATGCTCTGAAGGACACCCCAGCTATCGAAGCTATACGTACTCGATTTTGACTCGTGGCTGGCGAAAATAGATAAATCGGGGATTGCCAGGGCGCTTCAAAAGCCTGGCTATATCATCACTGTGTGCTCCCACGAGCATTATGGCCTCCAGACATATAGCGTTCCCATCTCGACTGTGGAGACTTTAGAGAGAAGAGCTAGCAGTTTCCTCCGTAGATGGTTAGGATTACCTCGGTGCTTATATGGATCATCCAATGCCATCCAGTTGCCATTCAGAGGACTAGTTGAGGAGTTCATGGTGTCACGGACAAGAGAAAGCTACCATTATAGAAACCCAGAGATCCCAAAGTATCAGGTGCGGGAATAGAGATTAAGACTGGCAGAAAATGGAGGATTAAGGAACTAGCTGTCGCAGAAGGGAATCTGAGGGTAAAAGCAGCCAATGGGTTCAGTCGCACAGGGCAGAGCAGGCCTGGGGTTGATTCCTCCTACAAATTCCGGAAAAGCACCATGAAGGAGCGTCAACGCTGATACAGGACGAAGTAAGAGCAGGATGGAGGAAAAGCGGATGACAAAATGGCAGGTTATATAGCAGGGCGCGTGGACCAGGTGGGATGGGTAGATTGGCGGAAAGTGTCGTGGTCAGATCTTTGGAATACCGACTTCAGCCGATCTAGATTCCTGTTCAGATGGTGTACGACGTATTACCAAGCGCGACCAACCTACACCTATGGGGAAAATAGATTCTCCAAAGTGCCCTTTGTGTTCGGGGGGACGGATCACTGCAACATATATTGAGCGGTGCAGAACAGCTCTGACAGACGGGCGCTATCGGTGGCGTCAGGACAAGGTTTTTTAGAGGCGATAGCACTCATCATTACTGAAGCTTTACAGAGTAATAAACTCATCCCAGAGCGAAGAGCTATCCGCTTCGTTAGAGCAGGTGTAAAAGCCGAGTAAGAAGGTTGCAGGATCCCAGTCACTGTTATCGTCCGCGTCGGATTGGCAAATGCGAGTCGATCTCGAAACAATTAAAATTTCAAACATATATCGTCCACCCATCTCCGTCCAGACATAATCGTTTATTCGGACGCCACAAAACAGATTATTTTGTTGGAATTAACTGTCCCATGGAGGAGCATATGCAAGAAGCATTTGAGAGAAAATATAGTAAATATGAAGGACTCCTTAAATGACTGTAGGGACTAAAGGATGGCGTACTGTTGTTTCCCTGTAGAGGTCGGCTGTAGAGGTTCGCTGGACAGTCAATGATACGAGCCTACTAGCCTAGGATAACGGGACAAAAAAAGAAGGCGGGCGATTCAAATGATCCTGGAGTCCGTCGAAAAGGCAACTGGGTGGCTGTGGATAAATTAATGCGTGGCCCAAAACTACAAAAATAAGAACGTTCCCAATGCAGATGTACACACGCCATAAATGCCATCACTAAAATACTTTTAAGACTGATTAGTATATGTGAAATTAGTGTATATAGATGACGAGAAACTTGCGAGAATCAATCTTTCGATGTGCATCCAGTCTCATATGCAATGACTTCTTACTGGTCTTTTGAGTAGATTCATTTGATTAGAAAAACAGTCTTACAAGTAATTTTTCCCCTTTTATTTTTTAACTTTTTTTTTTTTAACGGAATTTTAATTTTTTTCGGTTTCCTTCATGGATAATTTTTTTTTTTTTTAGGAGTAACTTATCTTAGCTAAATTTACACGCTATATTTTCTTACAACTATTTTTCGACATGTAAATATCTCGATCATTTATTTTGAGGAATTTTAGCTATTTTTCTTAGTTTTTAAACGAACTCTTTCCAGTAAGGATAATTTTTTTTGTGGGGGGGTTAAATTATTTAAAATTTACACGTGTTTTTTTTTTAACCAACTCTTAACATGTAAATAGTTTGGTTAATTTATTTTTAAGCGATTTTAGTCAAATGTTTTTCTCTTAGTTTTTAAAGTTGTAAATAGTCTGCCTTTATAACCAAGCTATTGTAAACGTTTTATTAAGTGTATTTTAGGAAAGAAAATAATAAAAAAGTAAAAGGAAAAGAAAGACCAAACAAATAAGTTAGTTAAAAGGGGAGGTAGAGAAAGAAGAAGTCGCAAGATGAGACGATATAATAATTCCTGTTTCTTTTATTTTATTATTTTTTTGTTTTTTTTTGTGTGTGTGTGTGTGTGTGTAGATGTATATATATATTTGTGTGTGTGTGTGTATATATATGTATATATGTATGTGTAGATGTATTTATGAGTATATTTATTGGTTTGTTTTTTCTATTCTTCCAAAAAACACCCATTCTTGGCCGCAAGTAGGAAGATCACTATAACCATGCATACCTAATTTATAACTTCGAATAGCCCAAGTGGAGTCTTTATTGGTTGTTTTTTTTTTTTTTTTTTTTGCTGGGGCAACTTATATAATTCGCGTCTTAAAGCTAGTAGCAAATTTTTCTTCTAGGTGCGGGCCGAATGCTGATCATATTCGGTCGGGTCGCCCATCGAAGAAGTCTGTTGTTTATTTAGACCCGAAACTTCTAGTGACATGGGAGCAACAACACTGACGACGCATCTAGATTCAGCACTTAAAGGTGTATTCTAATAATAATAATTCCGCGATACAATACAGGAATTACAAAAAGTATGTTATAATTTTGAAACTCACAACTAACTGATACAGTCATTTAAATTAATGACTGTATCAGTTACGAAAATTCAAATACCTTAATTTCTCGAAAATAATACGCATTTTTACTGTAAATTACAGGTAATAGTAGGGGTGTGCATTATAAATAGGTTTAAACAAAAAATGTTTTTCGTTATTGATTTATAATAATAAATACGTACTTGTTCTAAAATAAGAAAGATATTATCCCAGTTTTCATTTTAAATCCAGCAATAATAATTGTAATATTTTTTTGTTAATAAATTTATGTTTATCAGTAACCGCATTTTTTATTTGGCCAAAAAAATAAAAAAAATTATAAAAAGGCCAATTTCGAAGAAAAGATGATATCAAGTTAAGAATTTATTGAAATTTTAATTTTTCATCATCATCATCATCATCATCATCATCATCATCATCATCATCACCACCACCACTTTCTATTACAGAATCAATATCTAAATTGTTATTAAACAAATTATCATTCACCATATTATCTTCGTCCTGTTCAAAATTATCTTCGGTCTCTTCACCCTTTGCCAATTCTATTACTTTTTATTTAAAATTTGCACTATAAATCGAACGTTTTGACGACATTTTGGCGGTAAAATAAAATGTTATATTTATCCGGAAAACCGCCTGGTAATTTTCAACATTATTTTAGCCACTTGATTTCGATTTTATTCTCAATATCAAGGTCGACAAAATCTCTTCGTAATTATTATTTTTTTTGACAAAATTTACAGATGCGTATTATATAGATATATTTCTTAATTTTTGGATCATTTGTTGGGGTGCGTATTATTTATGGGTATGTATTATTTTTGAAACATTATGGTAAAAAACCGTAAAATTTTTGCGGTAACTATAAGTATATATATATATATATATATATATATATATATATATATATATCGAGTTTATCCCATGCAAGGCGGTAAAGCCACAAAACTCCGGGAGTTACAAAGGTGAAAGAAGGAACAGAAAGATAATTAATGCAAGGAAATTTTGAAGTTGGCTGAAAAACATGGAGCCAGAAGTGAGTTCCACGGACATGTACATCCAGCCAACTTAAAAAATTTAAATGCAATGTCAATCACTATCTACTGTTCTCGTGATCACTCTTTTCTCTTTCCGCTCATTATTAATGTTTCTGTTCCTAATTATTCCACACCCAATAGCCCCTTGTGTGTTAACGGCTTTATTGCTTTGCATTGGTAAAATTGATTAAATATATATATATATATATATATATATATATATATATATATATATATATATATATATATATATACTATTAGTTACCGCAAAAAATTTTACGAAGGAAAATTTTAATGTTTTTCTATGAAATACACCAGTGGTCCGGGGGACTCAACCGGATTTCCTGGAGCATATATATACAGAGAGAGAGAGAGAGAGAGAGAGAGAGAGAGAGAGAGAGAGAGGGGTGGGTGGGAGAGAATAAGGGATTGAAAGAGAGATTGAGAGGAATAAATGGGATTGAAAGAGATAGATAGATAGATAGATAGATAGATAGATAATCAGCAAGAAGTGAGATTGAGAGAAAGATAGGAGAGAGAATAAATGGCATTGAGAGAGATAGAGAATGAATGGTATTGAGATGAAGTTTGTGGGATTGAAAGACAGATAGAGAGGAGTAAATGGGATTGAGAAAGAGAAAGAGAGAGAGATAATCAGCAAGAATAAGTGAGATTGAAAGAGAGATAGGAGAGAGAATAAATGACATTGAGATAGATAGATAGATAGATAGATAGATAGATAATTAATGGTATTGAGAAGGAGTAAAGGGATTGAGAGAGAGAGAGAGAGAGAGAGAGAGAGAGAGAGAGAGATAGGGAGAAAGAATAAGTTTGACCGCGAGATAGAGAGACAGAGAGTGGGACTGAGAGAGAGAGGGGGGGAGAAAATACGTGAAATTGACAGAGAATGAGAGAATAAGTGGGATCGAAAAAAAGAAAGAGCGAGAATAAGTGGGCTGAGAGAGAGAGAGAGAGAGAGAGAGAGAGAGAGAGAGAGAGAGAGAGCGAGAAAGAGAGAATCTATGAGCCAGACTCTTAGTCTCTCCTTGGCCTTGCTATTCGTTGAATGAAATAATGACACATCAAATAGAAATTACGGATCTAACAAAAAAGCACGTGCAGTGATGAAATAACATTTTAAATACTCACGTGTATAGTCAAAGCATTTATTTCTTTTTCTCTAGAGGCTCGACCTCCCTCTAAGCCTAATGCTTAATCCACAGTGATCTCCCAAATATTATCTCCTAAACTGAAACATCTGAAAGTTTATGATTGACCATTAAATAGGCAGATAATTTCTACACTGTGTGAAAATCACAACTGTCTCTTTTTTATTCATTATTCTTCATGTTTAGAAACCTGTTCCTGAGTCGGAAAAAAAATAGCAGTTTTTCTTTTTTTTTCTATCAAATATTCCCGCTGTAAATGAAATACTCTTATTCACTCATATATTGATCTCTTACAATGTTTGTTTCATATATGAGCATACCATGTGCTACCTATTGAGATCGGATGCCGTAGATTCCTTGGACGTTAACTCGTTTTCTTCCTCTTGACTCTTGCGGTATGACGATAAACTACATCCGTGTCATGGGTAAGACTATAAACTACATCCGCATTCTCGGTAATACTATAAACTACGTCCGCATTCGTGGTAAGACGATAAACTACGTCCAACTGCAAGGCCTCTGATCAGGAGGTTTTGAGGAGCATGGAACCACCTCTAAATTGCTGCTCTCCCCAGGTCCACCCTGACCCGCGGTGGTAGCACTTGTTAGGATCCCAGGTATGGGCAAATGGTTAACCCCAAATAGGGGTTAAAATGTGTAAAAATATGTTTATTTTGCCAGCAATAGATTTTTGAAGAAAAATTATTACCAGCAATACATTATTAAAAGTAAGACATTTTAGAAAAAAAATATTACCAGTAATACATTTTTGAAAAAAAATCACCAGCAATACACTTTAGAAAAAAATATTCCCGGAAATACTTTTTGAAAAAAAAAAAAATATTACCAGCAATACATTTTTGGAAAAAAAATATTACCAACAATAAAAATCTTGTTGGCATTAAATAAAGCATTGAGGTTGATATGCCGTAAAACAAACCAAAACAAACTAAACCAAACCTTCCTTCAATATGTGAGCATCACTTGCCGGTGCCTGAAGAGTGCTTCACAATGTCTCCAGACCACAGATCAACCGGCATCGAGTTGGATCTGGTCAAGATTCAAAGTAAACAAATTTAATTAAAACCATGCTCGGAAGACAATGATACCTCCGACGTGAAACACATGCTTACCTTCCATTCTACATCATTGCTAACAGTCGCTATGTGCGTGTTGTGTTTTATTTAAAGATAAAAAGCAAACACTTTTTTTTTATTGAACACAACGTTGGAAAATCTGTCTTGCAGTTGCATGAAAATCGCAGAGAGTGACGAAAAACAACACCTTGTCCGGTGTCAAAAGCCACTGGTCGCGCCAAAGGTGGTAGTACCGCCTTAACCACCTAAACTGTGTTACCTGCCCCTGGTTGGCGGCTGATGAGGGCAGGGTGTCGCACGCACTGTCGCACGTTGTATGTAGAAAATATTATTCTAGCGGGTTTCTTCTAAAAGTATGGATGTTTGAGACACAGTCATTTTTTAAAAGATTCTATATATTTTCAGGACAAAACCGATTATGAATCTGCGCAGATTCATTTTATTATCTATGGATTGTCATGTATTCTTTGGATTGCTTAGCTGTTGCCTTCTCTACGGTTTGAATTCAGAGTTAACCTCAATCGCCATTTTCTGTCTCCCTGAATCCTGTGCTTTTCTCGTCCTTTCTCCTCCCTAAAATCTTCTCATTCTCTTTCACTCCCAGTAACCCTTTGCGTCTTAATGGCATTATCGCCATCTGTCATCCTGTCTTAAATGTTCGTATTGAACCTTCCGGCGCGAACGCCAAGCAGTACAGCATGCCGCTTCCAACGAAGCGAACTGACGAAGTGAATAGCATCATGGTACTCTTTTTTATTCACAGACGGTGCCCAACCGAACCTACTATAATGCGCAGTAGACGAAATCAAAAACAAAGAATGCGCATGCGCGAAATTAGAAATATAAAATGGCGACAATTTACCAATCGCAATCTGTGTGTATGTACCTATATATATTGTTCTTGATACATAAAAATTTATATATCGTTATCTTATATATATATATATATATATATATATATATATATATATATATATATATATATGGTTGGATTGATGTGAGTTTGTGACCCTGAGTTTCACGCTTTTGCGATCGTCAGACAAACTGATTAATTATTTTAAAATTTGGGTTTATGTAAATTGCGTGTATTAGTGTTATATATATATATTTGCGTGTATTGGTGTTATATATATATATATTTATAAAAATTTATAGAATTTATAAATATAATTACAGTTAATCGTGGTTATGCGTTTATGCAAATTTTCTTGATCACAAACATTTTTTTTATAAATTTATCAATAAAAAAATTCATTTTCATTTTTTTTGTATAGGAATAAAGTGTCGTTGACGACACCGTAGTTTGTACACAGATCACCAGTGAGCAAACACAGACGATTCCATTATTAAATAAGTATATCAGGTGAACGTATAAATGGGAATTCGTATGGCGTCTAAGTGATTGCTACTGGCACAGGGATCCGTCCCTGTGCTGGTGGTATCACGGTATACGATTTGCTTGGACCGGCTCTGACCAGCTTGAACCAACTATTACAAGCCAAGACCAGCTATGACTAGCATAGACCAGCTCTGACCGGCTTGGACAAGCTATGACCAGTTAAGACCAGCATAGATCAGCGGCCCAAGTGAGAACACTCGGGTACCCACGTTAAAAACTGACCCTGTGTCGCAACCTGACTCAGTGGGGGGGGGGTCATGTAAATATCTACTATCCACTATAATATTTCTGCTATGCTAATCATTATACGAATTATTATTCAGCGATTACTATTTGAACAATTATTATTCGTGCAAGTATTATTTGAAGGCATTAATACTACCGATATCTGAATTACAAAGTCTCGTCTACAACGAGAATTCCGGATGTGATAACGAGCATTCGTTGACCTAACGCAAGTTAGAACGAGCGAGCATCTACCATCACAAAACTAACCATTGATCCCTAAAAAGGACAGAGTAGATGGAATGAAATGGATGGATCAAATTCAGTTTCAATATATGTGATCCATACTACCCAAGCTGTTTGAAGAAAAACGATGAGACTCTATCTTAACTAGGGAAAGTTAGCGGTTTGTGTGATCCCACTGACATGACTATCATGGCCAGTGGGGAGAAGAAGAGGATTCGCGTCTTTCCCAAGGGTATTAGCACGTAAGTGAATGTAATGGATTTGACTGGAATTCGAACTCAGCTCTCTGATTTCTCAATCCGAGCCGCTATCCATTACTCCACCATTCTCTATACTGATCATTGTACAGATTACTATTTGAACAATTATTATTAGTGCAAGTATTATTTGAATGCATTAATACTACCGATATCTGAGTTACAAAGTCTCGTCAACAACGAGAATTTTGAAAGTGATAACGAGAATTCGTTGACCTAACGGAAAGTTACAACGAGTGAGAGTCTAACATCACAAAACATATATATTTCTTTATCTATATATATACAGTTGTAGTCTCTGTCTGTCTGTTTGTTATTGAACGCCTCCTAGGGTTTTGGAGATAGACCCCCATGACATATATATTCTGAAACTACATTACCCAGGGTACTTGAATAAGTATATTTCTTTTTAATGAAAGGGGGTCACCAAAGGGCAGACCTCACCAATGAATTTTTCCCCCATTTTTTAAAATTAAATGACTCCTAGAATACTTGGATAAGTATATATCATTTTGCTCAAAGGGAGTCCCCATGGGGCACTACCGCTGATTTTTTTCCTTCTGATTTAAATTAAATTTAAATTTGAACATGGAAATGATTCCTATCCAAAATATAGGAGAAATTCAGAAGATGGAGATCACATCGACAAGACCATTGATTAATATTGAAATGCATCATTTTTCTCCTCAAATTATAACGATTTAAAATCAATCATCATTTTCCCCCCACCCCAAAAAAATAAATAAATAAAAATAAAGTGTGACACACAGCAAGGTGCGGTAAATCGGATAGTAAACTGATAAATATTGCATTGTATTTTTACTTCGCATTTTAAGAATGTTGTAAATATAAAATTATTTTTATAAATAAACAGTCTAATAAATAGTGCTTAATAGTTTTGTTGTAATTTTTTAAAGAGCAAAGAAAATATACAAATTCATTTTCATATATTTGGGTTTTATTAAAATTCTAATTATCACTTTTTAAAGCCACAAACATTGCCGGGGAAGTGAAGGTAGGTAAAATTGGCAATTAGTCGATGTTTTAAAACTTATTGCATTGTACAGGGTGTCAAGTAAAACAAAACGACAAATTTATTATCTTTCAGGAATAATTGACCTTGAATAACCTTCTTGAATATTTATGACCTTGAATAATCATTCAGCACTCGCGTATAATTGCTGCTCGATCTTGTGACTCGTCATTTAAAGGTTATTTGCAGACAACTTTCACCTTTCGTTCTGCTCTTCTCATATGGCTAAACAACTCACTGATTTTGAGCGTCAAGTTATCGGACTTTTCAAAGAATATCCGACGTGGGAATTGACGAAATGTGCAGAAATTCTTCCTGAATTTTTCAGTTACTTCAGCCTTCACCAATTTCAACGGTTGTCTCACGTCTTTTTGAATTTACCGCTTTCTTTTTTACTGATCACCCTGTTGACGGTTTACATATTTTTATACCCCTTTTCCTGTTTATACTTCTCCCCAAAATTTGGTTTTAATCGGTCAATGTATGGCTATTTTAGAAGGTGTGATGGATGGACGGACAGGAAGATTAACGGAAGTCACAGAATTTTATATAGAAAATTAGCTTGGCTGTTAAAATATCTGGTGGGTATTTTAACACTAGAAATATTCAACAGGCCGAGTGATGACCATCCTACCAAAGTCAACTACCAGTTTGACCCGCCATCTGCAAACTGTCGATGACCTCGCGGCAGACCACACATCCACTAGAAGACTGTCACCCTCCAGGACATCCAGTAGATTAATCTAGCGCTGGAGGATGTTCCAACGCGCTGCCGAGACCGTGGGAGCTGGAGGAACGGGCTTACGGCCATGTTACACCGGTTTTCGTCAGATCATTGAAGTTGATCAACTTGGAGCCTTCTTCAGGTGTTTGGAATGTCGAACTGAACACTTTATTTCGCTCACTGGGGTAAACTGTTCTAGTTCAACGTGCCATGTTTAATGGATGTCAGTTATCAGTTATCTCCTGTTAATTCCCCTCTTCAAGTTCTCCACTGCCTTGACCGGGTATTGAACTCGCAGTCTTTGGGTCCTGTCACTGGATCTAACTAAAGCCTTTATCCACTGTGCCATGTGTCCTTCAGGATAAAGTGATACATTGACCTTGGGTGGTAGTACCTGTTAGGGTCGCAGCTATAACTTAAGGAACACAAGCAAAAACAAGACTCTGAAAGCATAAAAGTATATTTTTATAGTAAAAATACTAATTATTGATTGCAGACTTGCCAACTATACATTCTATCTGTAATCGAAGCCATAAGATTGTATTCAAAATATTTAGATTTCAGTATTAAATAACCCATAGAGATGTTGATATGCCGCTAAACAAAATCACCCAATCAACCAATCGGAATTGTTAACCGAAGAACCAAGTTCCAATTCCCGTTGTGTTCGTTATATTCACTTACGCGCAAGTACCCTTGGGAAAGCTACGGATCTATCAGTTCTCCTCCCAGCTATGGGTTAATTAGTAAGTCTTGTATTCATGTGATACACGCTTAGGCGATCATCTATCTTTCAGCTCAGATTTTTTTTCCCGCAGTAAGTTGCCATTTCTTTCTGCGGTAGACCAGTTGCTATCCAAGGCTATAGAACCCGGTCTGTTCTGCTATTTACCAATAGCTGGGGAAAGCGGGGAGAAGAAGAGGATTCATACCTTTCCTTTCGACTGGAATTCGAACTCGTCTCTCCGATTCCTCAATCTGAGTCGCTAACCATTACATCACCGTGCCTCCCATAAGCCTTGTATGGGCACCACGGCGTGGTGTAATGGTTGGCAAGCTTGTCTCGCTAAAACAGTTACGACTGAATAGTGAGTTCAATACTCACTGGGTACCCCATACATTCGGCCATGTGCCACATCTAAGCTACACTTGGAAAATCATTTGGGACACTTCGATGTGGTGTAATAGTTAGTAAGCTTGTCTCGCTTGATCAATTACGACTGAATAGTGAGGTCGATCCTCACTGGGTACCACATACTTTCGGCCATGTGCCTCATCTAAGCAACGCTTTGAAAGTTACCATAAGCCTTGTATTACTAAAACATTATAGTCTCAAAAAAAATATGTTACAATCTAAAAGTGTTTTTCTCGATTTAAATAAACGACAAAGGGTTTATACGGCGTAGAAAGCGAATCAATCGATCAATTATTTGATGAAGTTCTTTGGAAGGACGAAATGCGTTACATATTTTTTTTTTATCCCTTTTGTGATTTAATTACCTAAGTTGAAAGACACAGACATTGGCAACACAGGTAAACTCCTAGTCTCATGCCAAGGCAACATCAACACAAGGCTGCACGATTCATTGTCAGTTACGAAAAAATTCGGTCAATATATAGTTTGGAATTCGAACTTAATCACCCACAAAGTAATCAAACAAAAAAAAAAAAAAAAAAAAAGAAAGAAAAAAAAGCTCCGTAATTTGGTTGATTTGAAACAAAGGACAATTAAATCATTCGGTGATTTCAAGACTTAATTTATTCTTCAGATGAACAAGTAGTCAATTCGAAAATAGATAAACGCTCGAACGCGAACAGCGCATACAAATGGATTATACAAAAGTCCAGTTGTACTTTAGCACCAGGGTCACTGAAAAATTCCACGTGCTTCACCAGCAGTACATAAAAGCGAAGTGCATGACAGGTGAAGCTCATGCCAAACAAGAAATGATTGTTTTTTTATTTTTTTATTTAGGTCATGAATAATAAGATCATTTTTAAAGAGATTCACATAAAGATGCTTATTGTCTGAAATTCTCAGATAAAATTCACAGGTGTATTTTGCCTGATCATAGAGTGTCATCGCGCGCGCACACACACACACACACATTAAATATATATACAGTGTAACCCGGATATAAGAGAGTTGTCGGGACCGGAGAAGAAGTCTCTTATATCCGGGTTTCTCTTATATCCGGGTTTCCTCTAATTTGGGACCAGAGAAAATCTCTCTTATATCCAGGTTTGTCTTATATCCGGGTCTCTTATATCCGGGTTACACTGTATATATATATATATATATATATATATATATATATATATATATATATATATATTTGTCCATTTGTCCATTTCATAATGTGTGACGTCATTTGTTTACAGTTGGATACGCATCGAGCAGATATGACTGTATGAGAGAAAATCAAGGAGAATTGTAGTTTAAAAACAGTAAAATCGACCTTGCTAACGGTAACGCTCCTCTGTGGCTCAATCGGTAAAAGCACGTCAGGCTATATGACAGTTCCGTATAGGATGCAGGTTCGATTCGTGTCGGAGGACGCATTTTCTATGAAAATTTCTCGCACATTCAGTGTTCAGTGAAAAATGCCATGATGCTATTTTTGACGATTAGGTTGTGACCCGGAAAGAAACGAGTATAAATCAAAAATCAAAGTAAATAATAATAATAATAATAATAACTACCCAGACATTGTTATTAGAGACCGCAAACAAAAAAAAAGTGCCCTCGGATTGGTTGGAAAAAATTCCAATAGACTCATTGAAGGGATTCCTGGTAGCCCATGCCATAAGAAATACAAAAAATTGTACTCACGAGTACAACTCAACTTCTCAAAGGGTTTTGTCCAATTAAAATACCTATGGGTTTGTAAGTTTCTGTTTTTTTTTTTTTAATTTAATTCTTTTAACAAATGTTCAGCGGAAAATTTCATGATGCCATTTATGATTTGTGTATACAATTAAAGGAAATAATAATAATAATAATAGTAATGACAAAAAAGTGCCTCCTTATTGATATGGCAGTCCCTGCTGACTGCAATTTGAAGGTCATCAAAAAGCTGTCAAAATACAAGGACCTTGAAATAGAAATCTCAAAAATATGGCACATGAGAACATCAACAATCCCTGTTGTAGTTGGAGCCCTAGTTGTAGTTGGAAAAGATTCCAGTAGAGTAATTGAAGGGATTCCTGGAACTCCATGCCTTAAAGAAATGCAAAAAATTGTTCTAACAAGTACAGCCAACACTTTACGAAGGGCTTTATCTATGTCATTTTTTTTTTTGTCAGTGGAAAGTGTCATGATGCCATTTCTAACCTTAGGTCCCTGGGCGGGACCCGGAAAGGAATGTGTAAACGCCAGAAATCAAAGAAAATAATAATAAAAGTAATAATAATAATAATAATGATAAAAAAGTGCCTCCTTACTGATATGGCAGTCCCTGCTGACTGCAATTTGAAGGTCAAAATACAAGGACCTTGAAATAGAAATCTCAAGAATATGGCACATGAGAACATCAACAATCCCTGTTGTAGTTGGAGCCCTAGTTGTAGTAATAACATTACCTCATATGGTGAATAGATTGAGATTGTTTTCATTTCAGGTAAATTTCAGGTAAATTTCAAAGACGAAAATAAATGTATTGCAAGCCGAAAGATGTTTTTTAAGAGTGTGCTATTTATTAACGGTACAATTTCGGAACGTGCGGTGTCACTAGAGTTGTATTTTGAATATAAGTGAGAAAGGTACAATACATTTAGTTTCGTCTTGGAAACTTGACCTGAAATTTATCTGAAAAGAAAACAATATTAATACCTGACGATGAAGGAGCAAATTTCTTCGAAATTACTTGTGACAGAACATCTAATGCATCTCATAATTTTAAATATAAGGATCGCGTATTGTTGTGTTTTCAACAAGGATTCCCCCACCGCCCGTTAACGATTTGCAAAAAAACCAACATTGTTTACAAATTCAAATGCCATTTGGGAAATTGTATTTCCAATGGATTAAATAATATTTATGTTGGTCACACCACAAACTCGCTTTCACGACGCTTGAGACTACATTTGAATGATAATTCTAACATTTTTAGGCATTTAAAACAACATGCCTGGCCGCGTACACAATTCCGGAAAATCCTCGTTGAAAACACAATTATACTGAAACATGAAAACAATAAACAAAAACTAAATTTCTAAATTTATACATAAAACAGTTGAAACCTAACCTGAACAAAATAAACTACGAAAACCTCACAAATATACTTAAATGCCTATAATTAATAACAGAAGTCATTGGTTTATACCAACAGCTTCCCATACTTAACACTTCTCGTTTTCACTCTCGCGTGGTCATGTGTAATGACATGGACTGCGGTGCGATTTTCGCTTCCAGCGTCTCGTATGCACAAGTTTGAAGTTGCTTGGAAATCTTCCATGCAAACAAAACAGACTATCGTTGTTGCTATCCGTGTATTGTTTAATTTATTGTAATATACTTGTCATCTCTGATGATGGCTTATGTAAGCCAAAAGGTTAGATACGATTAAAACACATGTATCAATATTAAATTTATAAAAATAGTATTTTGATTCTTCTATTAAGCATCCAGCACTATTTTTGTGTACCTTGCTAATAGGCCTTAAGACGTGTTTATGTACTTAATATACACACACAAACATACACACATACATACATACATACTTATTATAAACAGAGCATTTACTTAAATATTTGTATCTATAAAAAGAATGTATAAACATAAAAATATCTTAAAATACATACTTATATATATATATGACTGTTATATATGAAGACAAATGGTTATGTAAAATCCTCATAAATACGTTGGACGCTAAGTGGGGGTAATATGCTGTCTAAGTAGTCCATCACTAGCAGTGGTTTACCTACTTCACGCCGCTGGCGAGTATTGCATTTTGCTGATGTTATAAAGATCACCATTTCATTTTCAACCTCCATTTTGTTTATTCCTCATTCAGTAACTTAAAACAATGACAAAATATAGTTTTAAGGTATGCTATTTATTATATTTAACTGTTATTGCCCACCAAAATGACAGTTAGAATAATACAATAGACTAACCACAATGCATCAATGATATATATATATATATATATATATATTCCAGCCAAAAAAAAAAAAATGGCCTGACGATTGTATTCAAGCATGAAACAAACTGTCGCCTCTGATTGTTGACTTCAAATATATATATATATATATATATATATATATATATATATATATATATATATATAAAACAGCTGCTCTATATAAATATATATATAAAACAGCTGCTCTGGTTGACTTTTAGTGTACACCTGGTATGTATGTGTGTGTGTGTGTATATATATATATATATATATATATATATATACACACACACATTTTTATATATATATATATATATATATATATATATATATATATATACATATATATATAGGTGGGTATATATATATATATATATATATATATATATATATATTATATATATATATATATATATATATATATACCGGTACCGGTGTACACTGAGGTCAACCCAGAGCAGCTGTTTTATGCTTGAGAGGAATCTTCATGAAGATTACGTTCATACATGAAACAGACCGTGGACTTAATACGAAGCGCATCAAACACTTCAAATTTATTATAAGAAATAAGGCAATAAATAAAAAGGCGGATAGTCACCTCGAAGAATTACTGCTCATGATGAATGTACCGCGTCGATGGTGCCTCAGTTTCAGAAAGATTCGTCAAATAAACATTCTTACATTCGTAGACCAGGTTCTGGACGACCATGTGGCAGTGACACTCGCCAAGATCGACGCATTGTAGGCTCATCAACAGAAGTGCTTGAAATCGATTTTGACCCAAGCTTTGTGGGTTAAATCGAGTAGATGAAACACTTTGTAAGCACAAAATCACAAGTCATCGTGACCAACGGTGAAAAAATGTAACTACTGTCGGATGAGTATAGTTGCAGTACAAACCAAAGATTTGCGCTGTGGGTGTTCCTGGCGGAAAAATTAGAAGTTAGACATCCTAGCAGATGGATGTGTTCAGAAATATATTACGCATATAAGCAAAGTATTAACAAAAGTGGAATTTAATTAGAAACCAAGAAAATTTAAATATCTAAGAAGTGTTTAAACAGACGATGGAAATCGAAAAGCACATTGAGATAGAGAACGATGCTTTTCAAAACCTAATCAAAGTATGAAGAAACAGGAAAATCTCATTAGAAACAAAGAAAATAGTACTGAACTTTTAGGTAATATCAATCCTCTTACATGGCAGTTAATACTGGATAATCTCCTCACAGATAAATAAGAAATTTGAAGTAACAGAAATATAGTTTTACAGAAGCATGCTGAGAATACCATGAACTGTGCATGTGAATAACGATGAAGTTTTAGGTATAATAGAAACAGAATGGGGACTTACAATAAAAAAAAAGACAACTGAAAAATCTAGGGCACAGAATAAGGAAAGAAGGCTTATAGAATTAAATACATACAGGACATT